GTCAGAAGGCCTGTCCCAGGCAGCAGGCACGCGGCACACAGCCCTGGAACAGCAGCATGGCTCCCACCTTCCTAAGGCAGGCTTACGTCTTCATGCACTTTATGGTTTCTCTTGACTTAAGACAGGTATGCAAATACATATCCTTGCTAGAGATCCCTTAAGGGTGATGTCTGTTGTCCCCAGGTTTCTCCTTGAGATTTGAAACTGCACATTCTGCAGCCCCCTTGTGATGATCCTGTCCTCTCCCATCACACGACATCGAGAGACCAAGGGACCACCATGTCTCTTGCTGAGCTGTGAATGACACCAGAAAGAGAGCCAGCATTGCTTCAGTTTGCTAGTCCTAATGCACAAGCAAAGCAAAGCCCTCCTTTGACTTGGAGCTAATGTTCCAAGAGACTGCAGCATTATATGGCCCTGCCAGCAGGACGCTTCCTTGCCCCTGGAAGCAAACTGGACAACAAAATCAGTATCAGGATGTCAAATATTGTGCAGAAGTTGTGGCTGCAGCAAGGACATGTGGCAGAGCCCATCCCAGTGCCAGAGATGCGCAGACGCCCACAGGTGACAAGTGTGTCATTAGATTTAGCTCTTTTCCCTAGAAAATATGCATGAGGTGCTATGCTATTGTCCTGCGAGGTCCCCACAGTGGCCAGCACCCACGGTGGCAGCCAGCCTAGCTGCTGGCTGCGGGGCTCCCTTCTGCAGCCTCTAGGTCACCCAGGAGCCAAAACCTGGGGACAACATTCAACCTCTGCAGACCATGTGAGAGAACGCTGGAATTTCTTAGAAAGAATCCACAGATGGTAGGAAATATTGGCTGAGAGTCTGCTTGAGGGCCCAAAACAAATGCAGACGAACACTTCTGCCTTTGCACTCTGCATGGCATGGCGGCACCTCACTCTAGAGTTCAGGCACCTGACGAGGCCTTCACTGTCCACACAGGCAGAGCAGAGCCTCTCAGGATAGATGGGATGAGCCCAAAGCCTAATTTTCTGGGAAGACATGAAACCCTGAGTTAACCATGAGTAAGAATCTGTTCCTGGAAGTTTTTAGTTTTAAATCATTTGTTAATAATTAACAGCGTGACCACAGCAAATGACTACTGCGAGCAATAAAGCTCCATTAAAAAATTGCCCAACTTTCCCATTGACTTGCTATAGTGCCTGCAGTTTAATAGCTGTTGTGATAGTCCACCATGCCTTGCAGAAACTAGAACAGGCCCCAACTTCTCGGACTACAGATTTGACATCTCACTGATGTTTCTAAATTTAGATAAAGCAGTGACCAGAAATAAAAAAATGATTTTATTTCCTTAAATTACATCACCTCCAAACCTCGCAGTTGCAGAACAAGATGTAGCTTTAGCCTTAGATCTCTTGTTGGCTGTATGTGTCCCTTTGCAGTGGAAATAATGGGAGTGTTTACTCTCTTAGCAGACCACTGCAGATGGATATGGACAGTAGGAGAGAGACATGTTATATCTGCACATCTAAGATGAGACATTTGGCTCAGAGGTTATTTCTATAGGGCCAGCATCCCTTTGTCCCTTGCCACATTCTCAGCCATTTAAAAATAACTTTCAGAGCAGCCACTGGGTTTTCCAACTGAGCGTCTGAATAAACAAATCATATCCCTGGTACAGTGCACGTTTGCTTTCCCTCCCATTCTAATGACTCTCCTGTACATATGGACATCCACACCCACCCCAGTTAAAAGAACAGTAAAGCTGCAAGGCAAAGCATGCAAACACCAGGAAATACCTGACCTATGGCTTTCTTAAACATAAATCCCCTTCCCTTGTGCGTAAGTGAAAAGATCATACCCTCTTCCCCCAGGCCCTGACCTCTCTGATTATACCTGGACAGATCACGCTCACTGCAGGTGGACAGCTCAAAATGCCCCTTCTCCTCCTTGCTTGCTCATTCCTCTAGCACTGTCGTCCCTAGAGCTGCACATTGTGCTTTTGCACGTGGCTTCACTCTCCCCATTGCACACAGAAGGAAGCAAACATCTAGAGACTGCTGTCACGGAGGGAGCAAACAGCCTCTTGAGCTTTGAAGCAGTTTGCTGCATTAGATGACCGCCCACGGGAGGAGGGAAATGGCTTTGAGGGCCCCAAGATTCCTCCCAGACTTCCACCCTGTGTCCCTACAGACCCACATCCTAGGCAGGGCCATCAGGACACAAGGAGCGAGCAGTGGACAGCTAGGACAATGCTTGCAGGCGAGTCAGCCACCTGCTCCAGCCAGGGGCTCCGGGCAGAGGCAAGTGCAGTCCATCTCCCAGGTCCTCAGCAGCTCTGAATGGCAGCATTCCCTCGTCCTCCTCCGGAGCCCCCAGCTCCATTCCCATGCACCGCCCTGCCCCTGCTCAGGACAAAGCCAGGGGCAGCCCATAGCCTCACTTCACCTCTTGCTCCCTGCCAGGGCCCTGCCAGTCCTGGGCAATCAACAGGGCCAAGGTCCTGTGAAAGGACGGTGACATTCGCTGCATCCCTTCCCCTGGGCACACATGCCCAGGAGCCGTGCTCCAGCAGCAAGCCCCAGAGCAGGACTGCTGCGGGAGGCCAGGTGTCTAACAGCAGAGGAGCAGCTCCTGGTGTGGGCTCCATGTCCCACACGTAGCCCCTCATCAGCAATAATGCTTGGATTATTTATTAACTCAGGCATTGTTGGGACTACAATGAACTATAAATAACAGTCGAGGGAGTGGTGTGTAAGACCGAGCTCCAGAACTTGGCTCAGAAAAACTGCCTGTTTTCACTTTGCTGCTCCTTTTGTACTGGCATCCCTACACTCTGCCCTGTTTCATAATCTCAGACGTCATGGGAAAATGATCGATTCCCACTCCCCACACTGCAGAAAGCTGCGGCTGAACCCAGAGTCCTCCTGTAGTCACTGTGTTCCAAGACCAGAAAAAAGAAAGAACTTTTTCTCCTTGCAGTGAGGCCAAATGGGAAAATGTCCCCTAGGAACAATTAATACAAAAGGGGGGCTGTTGCTGAACAGCTTTGCTTTGAAACCAGGCCGTCTCAGACTCCGCTTTGCTTCTAGTTGGCAGTACGAAATGGTCACGTTAGCTGAAGCCCAGCGTGAGCATGAATGCAGCAGCAGACACCAAGGTGGCCAGCTTCTCGCACAGGCTCCCCATTCACCCAGTGTCTGCGCTGACGCTACCGCTTTTCTAAAGAACCTGATTATTTCTCCTTCCGCATGACAGGAAGAACTGAGCCTTAACGAGCCTTCCAACTCCATCCCTGCGAAGCACAGCACATTCTGATCCTGCTGCCGTTGAAATTGGACTGCTTGGAATAAAGGATCCACGTACACCTGCAACGTGCAGCATAGCTAAGAAGAGAAATGCCCATGCTATTGCAGGGTTTCATCAGTGCTATATTATACTGCAAGCAAAGAAATGGTATTTGTGCTGGCTTCCATGGCTCAACGCCTATCTTTTGCTAGCAGTACCTCTGAGCAATGCTCCACAGATGTACCTCTCTGTTTGCTTTTGTCAACAATGTTCAGAGCTGAATTAGGCTTCTGATAAAGATTTCATCTCCGATTCCCTAATGACACCAAATGTGTTGTGACTCATAAGCAGCTATCATCCAGTGTGCTCTACGTCAACTCATAAGCAACTATCATCCAGTGTGCTCTTCGTCATTTATTGCAGCAAACCAGAAGGACACACCATCCTGACAAATTACAGCCTAGCAGGAGCTGCAAAGAATTTTGCAGGTAAGCTTCAGAAAATCCCCGACCAGAGCTCACAGCTGAGCGGTGTCATTTCTGGGGGGAAAGAACATGGGAAGGAAGGAGTGTGCTCCCTTCATTTGATGTACTGAGCACTCCCTACTTGGATGACACTAGAATGAATCAGCAGGCAGTTACTGTCCAGAGGATCCTGTTTAAGAGGAAGGGCATGAACCCCAATGCAAAGGTGGTTTCACTCTGTGGAGGAGGAAAAAAAAAAAAAAAAAAAAAAGAGGAAAAAAAAAAAAAAAAAAAAAAAAAAAGCAGGCTGGGAGGAACATCCCTCATAGCTAGCTGTTCCCTACATGCCCCGTTTAGAAGCTTACCCAGAAAGTCTGAGCAAAGATGGGTCAAGGTAGGACAAAATACAAGACTGTGGCCCACGTAAAGCAGCCACGGCTTAAGAGAAAGCACTCAAAATATTTTTTGGAACTATAAAACGTACTTTCCAGCCCAGTTGGTAGATACAGAGCAATAGTTTTTCCTCAGTGTGTAGCGAAGTGAGACCGGGGTTAACTATTAGGCAAGGTTCATTAAACCTTTAAAAATGCTGCCGTTTGCTATCACTATTCAGACACATAATAAAAAGGGGAATTATCACACTGGATGTCACTTTTTTTAATTATGTGCATTGCTAGCTTCCTGGTCCTACCTCCCAATTACTCTGACTCTCCTCCAGGACTTTGCTCATGATAAACAGAACAGCACACAGTACTACAACTTCTGCCTCTAGGTGGAGAAATTGATCTCGTGACCCTAAAAACAATTGCAGTTGTACAACTGTTCCCAAACTTGTTTTACATGCATTCTTCCGTCACTTAGCTTTCAGGGCATGCCTAGCATTTCAGGAATCTTTAGCATTATTTGGTTAGTATTCATATAAACACATCTCCCAACCTCAGCCCTTTGTAACAGTCTAAGCTAAACAGCTAAACTAACAGTTTGGCATCACTAGACTTGTCAAGGAGGCAGCTGGACACACCAATGACTGATTCATACGGTCTTCCTTCTATGAGATCTTTTCGGCATGGAGTTCTGATTATAAAAACACTAAGTAGCCCCTGATTGTGACAACAGGAGACCTACATGACTGCTTCCTCCAGAAAGGAAAAATGTTTATTCCTCTTCCTACAGAATTCATTAAAATTTCCTTAAGAGAAACATACCTGATCCATCTACTTGTGCCTACAAGCTTGTGAGTCTCTATTCAATCAGGAAAGAAAACAACACGCAACCTATTAAAAATCCATAAGTTAATCCAATATTTAATTAGGAAAATCAAAGCCTTTTCTGACTGCAAGAGATATACACTTTTCCAGACAATTTATCTACAGATAAAGCAGAAAGCTGCTTTATCTAACGTAGTACAACTACGGTTTTTACACCAGCTTGATGGTTGCACAAAACAGGAATGTCTTGGAAAAAAAGCAGAGAAATCAACAAATTCTGTGAACCTCTACTGCCAGATTGCTGCAAGAATTCTTGTAAAATAGCATTCTTGTCCTTACGAAATGCATAATCGATGTCTACATGTAAGAGACAATGTGCACAGGGCTGAAATAATTCACTGATGTGATTAGGCAGTGGGGTTTCTGGTCAATTGAGCTTAAGCTCACTTCTCAGAGATGGTTTCTTCTCCTTTGTACACGACAACATTCTGATCCGTTTCATACACTTTGACTTTATAAAGAGTCCCCATGGGCAGGAGCTTCTTGAGGTTTTCCCAGATGAACACTGCAACGTTCTCGGTGGTGCTAGGAGTGAAAGGAGAAGAGCAAAGGCATTTGACTAGACTGTACCTCGAACGGGCAGGATAAAGGCCAAGGGGAAGCATGCAGGCAGTGTTCACAGGATGACACGATGAAGGCAAGCAGGGCTGGAACCAGGGCCTGGGAGAAGTGCTGGTCTGCTAAGGGCTCCTTAGGTCCGAGGAAGCCGTACCCTCCAGGGTCCCAGAGGGGACCACAGCTGCCCCCACAGGCCCGGGCCCTGACGGCCACGGCGGGGACAGCCACGCACAAGGACACAGCTGCTTCAGAGGCTGATGCTTCAGCTGTAAGACTGACCCCAGAGACCATTCCCTGGCCCTGCAATCACAAGGGGTCCTATGGCCCACCTCACAACCTCAGCGAAGTAGGGCACATCCTTATCCAGGTTTTTGTGGTCAAGTGGCTCCATGATTGCCTCCTGTAGGCAGAGAACAGCAGTTAGCAACATCAGCAGCAACTAGCAACAGCAGTTAGCAACAGCAGTGAGGCTGTCCCAGCAGGGACAGTGTACTGGGGTTCAAATGACCAAGCATGTGAGTGCAGAAGAAGGCAAGAATATGATACGAAACGATAAGAGCCTTCCATCCACTTGTTAACTTCCTAGCAGGAGACACCATCCTGCCTGACATGACTACACAACTGCATTTAAGTCTGACATCGCTTCTTCTTCTTCTTCTTCTTCATTTCTTACATTATCAACTCAGGGACTCCACCCTCGTACTGAACAAACTGCTAACCTCTAACCACCTCTCACAGAGGATATCTGGGAAAGCAGCATTATTACCTGCATATATTCTTTCAGGTCTGTCAGGTTTAAAACCATTCCTGAGACTGGATCAATCTGCAGGAAAAACAGAGGAGAGCTCAGTAGCCTGGCTACGAGTCCTTATTAAAAGGTAGCCATGATCCAGTACAAATCAGACAGTGAATGAATATCTGTGCACTCAGGACATCTGACCCACAAGAGAAAAACGCCACCTTCCCCCAGGGAGCTCCAACTCTACCCTTTGATGTCCTCGGGGGCCAGACAGAGCACACAAATAACTCCAGTGGCTCTGCTGCCTCATAAAAGCCTACAGTAAGGAGAAAAAAAATCTCCAAAACAGCCTTCAAGCAATGATTTAGCACGACCTTAAGTGGGAATAGAGGCTTTTATATCTCTTGGTCAAATAATCAAATAGCCAAAAACTAACCTGAGCTCAGGGCATCCTCCATCCAGAGGAGGCAACAGCTCAAGAACAAAAGTAGGTTCTGCAAGTGACAGGGAGTTTCCGGAACGTGGAAGGAAAAGATTTTAAAATTTTGGATTCAGTTCTGAATACCACTCCATCCTTCAAACACTCCCCATTTCAATCTTTCCATTTCATAATGGAAACCCTACAAAAGTTGTTTGGGAAATACAAAAACCTAAGTGCTATCAAAACAACCCAGTCTGTAGAATACACAAGATAATGACGGGACAGAGGGTAAGAAGCAACTCTGAAAGCAGAAGTTCCTTTTGTACTTACAATAAAATACCCTGAGAAAACAGCAGAATCGGGGACTTAAATCTGGGACTTAAAACTCAGTCACCTGCAACCCCCTCTGTGAGATGCCGGGTCAAAAAGACAGTCTTCAGAAAATAAATGATTACGGAAAACCTTCTTCTACTGTGATATGTAGACAGCTTCCTCAAACACTGTGGGAAACCTAGCAGCTGAGCTGAAAGTCTGCAAGTTAGGAATTGTGGAATAAAGAGACATCTGTACCACTGCTCTGCAATAGAAAGAAACTCGATCACACTTACCTCTCCACGCACAGTGACTACAACTGGGAAAAAAAAAAAAAAAAAGGAAACATCAACTCATCAACTCATGTGTGTGGCACAAGGAACCTAAACGGTCAGGACAGGCAGCCCATACATCACTAATTCACCTGGACCAATGTGAGCATCCTCACACTTAGAAATGGGATCGGTTTTATAGAACGGTTATCCACTATATAAACTACCCACCCAGCTCCTAAAAGGAGACATTCTTCACGGTCTGATACCCAGCATGCCTCAACAACCACTTACAGTCTGCTACAGAGCAGCTTACTTCACAAATACCTGCTTGCTTTGCCCTTTGTACTGCAGATAAGAAGCTCTTGATCAGCAAAGTTTTCTGGACAAAACCAGAAAGCCAAAATGGTCTGAACTGGGTTGTGATTCTCCTCAGCAGTGATAGCTCCTTGGCCCGCTCTAGAACAGCTTTCCATCAAGTTCTGAAAGGAGGAACATGCTTCTGCTATGAGAAAATAAGTAGTTCGTATGCCTAACTGCCTTAAAATGCGGGACTGCAACCAGCCTTCCCCAGCAGAGCTGGGGGCTCTGCAGTAGAGGCTCGAGGGTAGCTACAGTACAGAGAGCCCCAAAGTGGCCTGTGCGCAGCAGAGATCTGCTTCTCCACGCAAGGGTGCACCTGCAAGCAGGTGCACAGCAGGGGCACTGTCCCGCCCTTACCTTTGTAGTTGTGCCCGTGCCCGTGGGGATTATTGCACTTCCCGAAGAGCTTCGCGTTCTCCTCGTCACTCAGCGCTTTGCTGCAGAGAACAACACGCCCGCACGTGCGTACGCGGGCGCCCACACGCGCATAGGGGCAGGCACACACGCGTGTGTGCACACATGTGCACGCACGCAGATACGGGCGGGCCCGCACGGGCGGGCGCGGCGCCGCTCACCTGTGCAGCCGGTGGCAGGCGCTGAAGGTGACGGCGCGGGAGAGGCGCGCAAGGCGCGCCTCCATCCGGGCCCTGGCGCGGCGGCCCGCAGCGCCCTCCGCGGGCCGGCCCGCACGCGGGGCCGGGCACGGGCCGGCGCGGACACCGCTGAGACGTGCACCGGAAAGCGCCCGAGCAGGGCCGCGCTGCGCACACAGCGTCAGCGCTCTCCGTGGGTGCCGGGAGCGGCGCAGGAGCCTCGTCCCGCAGGAGGGGGTGCTTCCAAAGCACATCCGAGCCCCCACACTTACGCATCGCCCTCCTGCCTGATTTTTCCTGCCTGAGTTTCAAGTTCTTCACATACACCCTTTTTGGGTTCATCCGGTTGGGGTGATGCTAATGGGCTGCAGTTTGGCTTGCCTTTGCTACTTCACGTAATGGCAACTGCGAGGTGGGCGCTTGCAAACACCCCACGGCACGTGGGTTGGCCTGCCCAAGCAGAGCTGGCCAGCTCTGAATGGACACGGCAAGCGTTTTGTGCAGCAACCCAAGGCGTGGTTCACACAGCAACGCTCACCTGGAAGGGCTGATAGCGCTGACCTAACTCCCACCCAGCAGGAACAGCGGAGCCCTGTCCGTGCTCCAGCACCGTGGTACCAGAGGAGCTATTGTACGGCTCCCGGGAACGCCCCGCACCCTTCCCGTACGCCCCATTTGCAGTGCTCTGATAGAGTAACCGCAGCCCTGCCCTGCACCAGGTACTGAGGAAGGGTACCCAGCCTGCGGCTTTCCTTTCTTTGCTGCCAAACTAAATCGGCTTCTGTTCTGTAAATGAGAGCACACATGTAACAACACTCAAAGAGCTCAATCAGGGGAGTCCACAAAGTGCAGGGATTTATAGAAAGCTTTGGGAGGGTGGGGGCCTAGGATTCCTCAGTGCTGCAAGGATTTGAATGGTACCTGGGCACCAAGAATAATCTGACACAGCTGCCACTTCTCCAGAATGGCAAAATCTCCAATCCTCAGGCAGGAGCTATGAAGTACTGTATTACAGAGCATGAGAAAATGCTCTGTAATTCAGTGCTCTGTAATTCAAATGCACTGTAGTTCTGAAGGCAGTGGTGCAGAGCCTGAGTGCACATGATGCAGGCAGGGCTAGGACTGTGCTGCTGATGTACAGCTTCATAAACATAGCAGACTTTGCACAGGAGGGCATCTCTCTCCGATTTCAGCATTGATCAACAGCCCTGGCTTGGGTGCATAGCTAGTTACAGTTAACAGAGGGTTGCACATGAGATTCTGATAGTTGCCTTGCCTTTTACCACCTCCCCAGGCAGAAAGGCTTAAAGAAAGCAGCAAAGGTAACAAGACTCTAGGAGCCTTTAGCCAGGGAGGCTCCTCGAGCTGACAGTGCAGGTCACACATTGGGCTGCCAGATGGAGCAGGCCAGGCAGCAGGAGGGCGAGACTGGACCACCATTCCCAAGAGATGGTTGCCATCTAGTGGGGCTTTGTGAGACCAGCTCTGGCCTGAGCCTCTCCTGCCTTCTCCCCATTCTGCACTCTGCAGCATGCGGTTACCGGACCACAATGAAATTCTGTATGTTCCACCCTGGTTACAGCAAGAGCAAGGCAGAGTGCATTAGCATTGTTAGAGCTGTAACAATGAATGCTGCGTAGGAGGGAGCATAGCAGAGATGTGTTTTGCCTCTCTACCAAATCACGTAAGCTAATAAAGCCTGGGTAAAGGTTATAGCCAACTTGTCTTGTGGCCTGGCAGGGAAGGGGCATAAGTCTAGCGAGGGCAAGGACAGGAAGGAACACCACTGTTCTATTTCAGGGTATGCTCGTGTAAAGAAAACAGCACTACGAATACAACTCGTATAACGCTTGGCTTCTACCCCCTTGATCGTCTTTATGTAGCAGGCGTGAAACAGTGTCCCTCTCTTAGGCTCAGATGCTACCAGTTTTTTATTCCATCTCCTTTATGCACTACAGACAAAGCACAGACACTGTTTGGCGTCTTCAGAGGTGGAAGGTACCAGAAGAAAGAAATGGTCATCTTAGTTTGTTTTCTCTTGCAAGCCTTATGAACAGCTGCTAATTGGCGTAGCAAATCAGCAAAATAAAACAGCAGGCTGCTAAAGTGATGGGGCTACTGTCTTCCTCAGAGGACATTTCAGATCCTTACAGTATATTATTTTAGCAGAACTTCAGAGGTTATGACAGAGAAGCAGTTCTTTCATCCAGGGTATAATGCAAAGGTAGAAGGAAAGAGAGGCTTATTTCTGAGCCAAATTGGGTCCTTGGTTAGAGGAGGCAGAGAGTTTTCTGTCAGTGTGAAGCAAAGATGCCGTGGAATCCATAAGGCATTTGCACAGGGACTTCTGCTCGCCCCAGTTCTCTGAAGGTCTCTGCATCCAAAACGAGTAGGAAGGTGCTTCGGTTCTGCAGGATGAAAACACAGTCAGAGTGAATGGCCAGGCTGTCCAACTCAAAGCATTTGCCCCACATATGGGAGCCTAAACATACTACCAGTCTGTAACACCAAAGGTAGACTTTACAGACCAAGACATTTAGTTTGGAGCACAACTGGTCCTATGTGTCACCCCAAAAATGCTGATGCTCCAAAGTATACTCCTATTTGAGGTTTGCCTGGCTCTGCACATACCTTGGGAAGCATGATGTGAGAATCCTAGGATGGCAGAGAGCCTCAAATCCAGTTTTATGGTTTTGCAAACATACCTAATACTACATGGCTCTGAAGAACTGGTAGAAATGTTACCTCAGTCGGGGAGACCACAACGGACAAGATGATCCCGCTGTCTTCTGCCATGGCATTAGGCACTGGCACAAACACGGGCTCTGATGGGTAGAATCCATCCTCTTGCCAAATCTGGCATAGCAACACAGAGATGTTCGTATTTGGCTACTAGAGTTAGTAGAGGCCCAAATTGGAGACCTCCTTGCAAAGCCACCCATGCATGCCCAGGCATCTGGGCTCCCCAAGAAACATGTAGTTGTCCTGATTATTAGCTTGACTACAGTAATATGCCAATTGCAGGCTTGTGACAGCATGCCCTTTTGTCAGGCATCTGCAAACAGGCAGTGCAAGGGCTGCCTGTTCATTTGCTCATTTGTGCCAGTCCAGGCATCAGCTACAAGTTTAGGGAAAAAAAAAAAATCCATCCTGAGTGGTGCACCTGTACACCACGGGAGGGTAGAGCAAGCTGTGCCCAGACAATGTAGAGGGAGAGGTGCCATGCAAGCAGAGAAGAGATCTATGGGCTGGTGCACCTAAGGGTGCCACCTGAGGCCATTGCTGCTGCTCTTACTGCAGACAGCTGTGGCATGAACCTCTGTGATGAAGGATGGCTGTCCTACTGCAAAGCAAGTACCCACTGTCAGAACTCTTCAAACAAAGGTGTCTTTCTGAAGAATTTTAACTCTTCCTGGCCTCTGGGAAAGTCTCAGCATGACACATCCTAGAGGCCAGTTCAATGGAATAACTTCCAGTATTCAAAAACAGATAGTCCAGCTTCATCTCACCTTGAATGTCTTGGTCTCAACATCAACCTTCAGCAAGGAATCTCCAACCAAATGCCGAAAGCCGCATCCGTAGAAGAAACGATACTTCCTACCATTGCACTGTGTGTAGTTTATCTGGGGGAACTCCAAGCCCCCAACATTTTCAAAGCCCTCTGGGTGGAGATTTTCATGTATGCACCTGACCTAGAGGAAGTACGCATTACAGGACAGTCAGTTTAGCTTTTACTTGACAAGGGAGCTGACCAGTCTTGCTAATGCTCTGCACAACCATTGTGGAGATCAGATGCTTGAGGCTGAGCCTGGCTATGCACTGAGCTAGCTTGAAGGGACAGTTCTGTATCCCTTGCTATTTCACACAGAGAACTTCTCCGAATTCTGGAAACTTAAAGGTTTGGTTTAATGGGAAGAGCTGAAACACAGGTATATCTATTTACCAGCAACTAAGGTTAAAAGCACTCGCTGAGATTACTCCAGCAATAGTGGCTAGAACATGCCTGAGGTAGCACATGTTCTATACCCTCCACAGCCACACCATAGGACTGTCGAGAGCCAAACGGAAAGGACAGTTCTGCACCCAGGTGAAAGTATGGACAATTTTGCAAACGAAGCTGAAGTCTGCCCAATTACAGCAAAGGTTAATAGCCTTCTTGGACAGTTTGGGTAATGCAGTATCTGTCCATGCTCTCTCGTCTTAGGGAAGGGGGTATGCTTTGTAGTATGTCACTAATTCCCTTTTAAGTAACAACCAAACTTTGCTTTCTTGGTAAACAAGGTCTGAAGAGATAACAGCCATAAATGCAATTCTAAAGCTTTAATATACACACCTTACCATCTGCATCTTTCACAGCTCTTGCTGATGTGTAAGACAGAGGGTTCAGATTTTTTCCCACAGGTGTGTCTGCACTCACATGCAGCGGGAGAACAAAGCGGCGAGGAAAGGCTCGGGGTATTGAGTTATAAACCTATCAGAGAGACAAAGTTAAGGGAATGGAGAGAGAAAGGGGAAAAAAAAAGAAGAAAAAAAAAAAAAGGAATAACCTGTCTAACTTAGTGCCCTTTGGGTGACAATCTCGAAGTTTCAGACCTTTCTCCCACTTCTCATTCTCCTTCTATTACATGTTTTACCAGTTTCTTTTAGGAGCTCCCCTTGTCCCAGAACTTTGTAACAAAACACAAAAGGCTGTCAGTAAATGGGTCAGCATTGCTTTCACAGTAGTAATTGTTGAGTTCAGTCCAGAGATCACTCTGTAGCACCCCTGAAGCAATATTTTATTCAGTGAGGACAGACAGACTTAATGAGGTTTTTTTTATGGTTTGTCCTCGCATACCCCACTGGCTATCTGGCCTAGGCCTCTCTTGTCCAATGGAGAGCACAAGCTAATAGGGAGATTACATAAAACAGGACGTCAGCAGCAGCACTGATCAAGCAGAGAGGTACCCCTGCTAAACCCCATGGCTGTTGAGTAGTAGTCCCACTTTGGCAGGCTGAGGCTGAGCCAAGCATATTATTTTAAATGATCCCATCAGCACTGAAGCTGTATTGAAGCCCAGTTTAGAAGAAACTTTCATGGTTCCAATGATTAAACTGTCTAACTAAAATAGGTGTCAGGGACTCTGCTCTGGTGTTTTTGGTTGCTTCAGTTGATGACTCACTAGTTAACCACAAAGCTATTTCAAACTTGTATGTTCATCTTGGAAACCATATTTAAAACTTTTGTGTTTTATGTAGCCACAGTAAGATGCTTTAGGAACTTGGCCAGATAAAAC